AGCTATGTAATATTGTAAACAGAGGATTTAGTCTCTTATTAGCAGTAGCTAACCTTCTGCCACCAGTATCTAAACTTTTGTTAGCAACACCAAGTCTTCTATAAGCAAAACGAGCTTTGGAATCCCATGGAATCATACTTTGATTGATAAATAAAAAGTCCAACATGAGTTCACCATGCTCAAAAGAACATTGAAAAGTGTGCATTTTCAGGAGGTCTTCTAACTATGACAACAGCATGGAGTTAAAAAGAACATGAGTTCTAGAAGTAATTTTTAAGTTTGTTATTTATTAAAGCAATATAAAAAAACATTAATATTAAGGACTGCAGTTCATATGCAATAAAAAAAACGACAGTAAATCTTGAGATAAAATTAAAGCCCGAAAGAAAAGAACACAATTACCTCATCTTTAAACATTATTTTAGATAACTTAACATCTGCATTTCATAAGCATGTTATGATAAGAAAATTAAACTTATTTATTAACGGTCTCGTCAAAGCCTCCAAAAAATTTTGATAAATGGTTTTATTTTAATAACTAATAGCAAAATACAAACTTCGTAATGATTTAGTTGTAACTCTGGAACATATAGATAACTATAGAAGTATTTTTAAACTAGAAAAACGTTTTGAAAATGAAACCATAATATTTTAACTTCAAACTAAAACAAAAGCAAACAAAACTTTAAAACAACATATAAATCCGTCTTTTTAAATTTTATAGCCCAAAATACATCTTACTTAATCTTCTATAATCATCCCAAGAATTTGGTGGCTTTAAATCCTTTTCAGTTCGTCCAAGAATAAACAACCGTTGAGTTTTCGAAAACATCTTCTCTATCCAGCTTTATTGTAAAGAGTTTATTTTGAGACAGGTTTCTTTTTAGGAACGTCCAGGCTTTTGACGGTCGGTTATCATCAAAAGTCGAACAAAGTCACAAAAGACCAGCAAAGAGAGTGTTGCTCTTTGTCCGATGTAATGACTTGGGGTTCTTGCACTCCGATTTTTGTCTCAGCTTGTATTTAATCTCAACATCTTTACATATAATCTTAGTCAGAGAGAAAAAAAAACTCTCACTGCGATAAGTAGAAATGTGGGTTAATGTTCGGAATGTCAATAATTTTTTTCTACTCGTGGTAGATGCATTTTGATTAAATTATAAACCGTTATTGTGCGCGTGTGGAGAGAATAAGAATTGATTTGAATACAATTGAATGACATTGAATTCGCAGTTAATCAGTCCGCGTACGACCTCTCCACTGTCAACAATGTTAATGGGCCATTTAACAGAACGTAATACATCCTCTTGCATTACGTCGTAGCATGCCGATCATTTTACCCTTTATTATCAACGTCAATAAAGGTTATTATTTGGTATTAGTTAAAAATAGCCACTTTGCGGTTATTGGTTTGTTTAATTTGCTTTACAAATAACCCATAATTTACGTTTTATGAGTTACATAAAAGAGAAAATCTCCATTAAAATGATGTTTCGAAAATTATTTTTCGTAAGAACACATGATGTAATAATGTTGATGATATGAAAGCTTGGAAAATCTTTTAAATTTAGAATTTTTGCTTTGGTATACTGCGTTTGTCATATCCTGTATTATAATCGATAAATCTTTCTTCGCTTAATAAATCATAAAAGCACAAGATGTTGTGATGTGTGTGCGTGGGGTCAATAACATTTTCTTCAGGGACTTAGTGTTGATGGTAATATTGGTTACTCTGTGCCAATATTAAATCTCCGTTCCTTATACGGAAAGAAAAAGGTGGACGACGACGACAACGCGTGGGTGCCTTAAATGCGCTGGTGGTTTTCTTCGTCGAAAACCGCAATTCATTGTTGTTATATTGCGGTGTTGTTGGAAAATTGCTCCGCGCGCACTTCGATGGTTATCGTTTCCGCGTTACGTTGAGACATTCGAAGATAATGGGAGGGCAATTCTCTTCTTATTGTAAAAAAATCGAAAATAGACGACCTCGCTATTGAATAATATCGCAATTTGTCGATGACTTCGAATGGGATACTATATAAAGAGAATATAAAGAGTATAAAACATAAACTATACGAGCGTTTTGTGCATTGGCATGGGGTAAAATCATTGGTGCGGGTAAATGTTATAAATGACGCAATCAATGTTGAACCGTCTTTGAAAATCTATTTCTTGCTATAAATGGAATCGTAATTTGAGGTCTGGTGTTCGAGGCAAAATGTCAAGTAGAGAATTTAAATCGTATACAAGCTATGTGTAATTTTCTCGGTATATTACCTTAACGAGAGAATGATTACGTCTTATTTTATTCGATTTTTAATTTAGAGAAAAGAAAAAGATTTGTTTTGCTTTCGTATTTTTGATGAATAAGGTTTTCATGTATTTTATTTCTTCCCGATTCGTGGGAATTCTATGGAGTTAAAAATAAAAACATATCTTAAAAGAAAGGGTTGATTTAGGTTGGGTTGAGTTGGGTTGCCTTTATTCCCTCGATCTTTTAGAGGATCCTAAAGAGTTGGAAGTCAGTCCTCCATCTTATGGTGGTATCTGGTTCATCCGTATATTAGACTTGTTCCTCATTTCTACAACATACCTAAATTGTTGATTAGTGGTGTGCTTTACGAGTCTGCCCTCAAGCAAGTTTTGGAAAAATCAACGAAATGTAAAATTTATGCCTGTGGGTAAGAAACTGCACTTCTGATCAACGCAAGCTAATAGCCGAAAACTTCAGTTTGCTGCGATTTAAGTCATCGTATAAAATAGGTGTAGAGATTGGAGTTACGGTTGGATTGATCCACCTGGATTCTCCCTCCAGCAACATACTGCGGAAGTGGTGGTGTGTAATTACGGAGAGAGATTGTTTGTGGGAGATCCTGTACCCGTTCCAAGATCGTATAAAGGAGGTAGGGTTAGTAGGACGAACATGCAACCCACCTGCCGGGAAATCAAATACATGCTCATAGAACTGCTATACACACTTGCTTCGAGACCACGAAACACTTAGCCTTGCTACTAATAATGGAGGAAAAGGGAATGAAATGAACATGGAGCAAGTCCAAAAACTGATCGACAAATCTAGTATCATCATCCATACATTCAAAAATGGATCAAGTAAGGATCCAAGATACTACAGAGAAATAACATTACTTAGCGTCCGTCGCCTTAAAATTAATTAATAAAAACTTGAAGAAGAAATATAACTACTAATGAAAAACCAAAGGACTTCCAGTAGAATAGATCGATAATAAACGCGATATTTATACTGTGGCATCAATTGAGAAAATCCTTGAATTCAACAAATCTCTGTTCCTATGTTTCGTTTTGAAACAAACGTTTGCTTTATCATCTTCTGACTGTAGTAAAAATACTTAAGAAAACATAAGATCGACAATAGAACAGCGAGAATGATTTATAAATTGAAACAATATAACTTAACAAGAGTAAAAACTACAAACGGAATAACAGAACTAGTAGGTGTGCCGAAGGATATCAAACACTATTTAATATCATTATGGTTGAAATTATGATGCCGTGAATGAGATGAATCTGCTGCATGCAGAATGGGAAACAATCGTATTAGTATTTTAATACTATTAGGTTGGGTTTGTGCTATGCGGACTATGCTATTTTATTATCAGAAAATGAAGAAATTTACAACGGTTTTCATTCTCATTTACAGCCATCTCTCAGATGTTCTCTAAGAAGCCAATTAAATACAAGCTCATAATAAACAATAAAATATATCCATCAAATTATGAAGTTTAACAGAAAGAGCAGAAATTTCTAAATAGTTATAGTAATCTTATAAATGAAGTAAGTAAAGAGGCAAACAAAGCTAAACAAATATCTGGAGATATAAAGATTCTTAGATCATATGGAAAATATATGTTGACGCTTATTTATGCTGCAAGGAGGCGAGCAGATACTGCAAAAAGAAGTCAAGTAGTCAAATAATATGATTGGCCAAATGAAGACACTCAGAACAACACGAGGGGTCAGTCTATGTGATCATGTGAGCAATATAGTACGAGATGAATGGGGAATCGAGGATGTGGTGAGATGGATGTGATCCAGGCGACGAGAAATTCTCTGGAAAGATTGATCAAATGCATAATACAAGAAAAACCAGATCTCAAACGAGCCCAAAGAAGACCATATAAAAGACGGTATTGAAGTTGAACATCATGCTTACTGCAGAAAAACAGAACATTGTTACATACATGTCTGAGGTATGTAAGCAAATTTGGTTCGTGAGGTGTGCGATACCTATAGATTGTCTTAAAAAATCTGTGCAGATTCTGGTTTGATGAAGTGGTTGTTGAGTGCCACCAAAAAATTTGCGGCATGTTTCAACTGGAATCAATCTTCTCTATAAAATTGTATACACTTTCTTACTGATACACGTAATTTATTTCCTGCCATAGATTTTCGATTGTGTTAAAATCTGTACTATTAGGAGGTCAATTCAAAACTGCCTCAGAGTCATCAATTAACATTTTTAACATCGAATTGAGCTTCCAATCTATATATCATATAGATAAAATTAAGTTATTAAATTGTTTTCCATATGATCCACGAAAAGTCGAGGAGGATTCCAGTAGTACCGTTTGCTTGACTTGTAAAGAATTGTTAGAATAATTCATTTAGTAAATAAATTCATTCATCATTTAAACAAATATGTAGATAAAATTTAGTTTAAATTGAGTAATTCATAGATAATCTCTGAATTACTGGCTTCATTGCGATAATGAATTAAAGCCTTATGAATTCACTTATAAAAACGTTTGGCCGTTTTAATGAACGGCGATCATTAAGACGTTCAGTCACACTCGACCATGGACCCGGAATTTGCGCTAAATTAGTCATCGTCAATTATGAGACACACCACAAGAAAATGGGGTCAATTTGAAACCTGAACGGAAATATATATTTAAATAACGATAACTATTTATTTAATTTGTTGAATTATATTATCTTAATTAAAATTCTTGTGTTCTTACCTTTCTTGTCTATTGTACGATATGTGATTCGAATCGTTCATTGCCGTCGCAACTGCCATCATGTATTCTGTTTCTAAAATCACTGGTTCATCGGGTAGATCAACTTCTTGGGGTTTCGATTGCTGGAAAAATGATACCCGTACTTTTTCCCGTTCGTCTCTAAAAAGAAAAAATATTTATGCTTTATTATTAAGAACGGAATGTTTGGAATTTGTTTTATGAGCTAATTGAAATTAAGATGTTACAAATTAAAGTTGACAGTGTAGGTACTTCCGGTATATTAAACTTCGTAATAAACAGTTTGAAATGTTTTAGACAGCTTAGCTCCCTCTTGGATTAGCTTGAGATAATCGATATGGCAGGATATTACTAAGAGGAAATGAACAACTTCCTTCCAACGATTTTGCCTTTTTTGTGTGTCAATGGATTTGTGTAAATACGTTTTTTATTATTTATTTCCTATTATAGACGGATACGAAAACGAAAATAAAGCTGATTTAATTGAAGTCCAACCCAATTTCTAACTCCATTTAGTAATTTGTTTTGAAATGGCAGGATATTACTAAAAGGAAATGAACACGTGTTTTACTTCAATTAGGTTTTTATTTGTTGTTAATAAAGGAAGTCTCCAAAAATGATTTGATTTGTTTTTTAATTTGTTATTTAATTTTTTTCTGACTGTGTAATAGTAATAATAAGCCAGCAATGGTAAGGTGTACACAACAATTTTATCTAACTGTAAGAACATTTACCGGAAAATAGCGTTGTTTTTCTAACCCGTCTCGACCTCGTTTTCTTTCAACTTAACCCTTGTGTGTTCCGTTCACTGACTCAATTACGACAATAAAAGTAGAATCGTAGCGTATAATAATGGTTATTACGACGTTCTCTTTAACTCGAACTAACTGTATTTTCGTCTAATAAGAGACACCTTGTATTAAAGTATCATAAAACAAAATAGAAACACCATTCTCACCTAGATAATCGCCCACGGTATTATAAGAAAGGGCTCGACCGATTTTAATTACTATAAATAATCGCTTTCCACTTAATTGGACCGCTTTCAACTTCTCAGTAGCTTCGATAATAGGTTTAATTTCATTTACATAAGAAATATATCCCCATCAATATCGTAAATGATTATCGTTTTAATAAATTGAGGAATTTATTGTTATTATTGCAACATTTTCTATCTATATGGAAAACAATGAGTCATAATTAACGCGAAAAAAATCTATATTAATATTAAAAAAAAATTTATACGGAAGCGGTTATCCTCCGTTATACATAACAGAGCACGATTGAGGTTCACGGTTAAGGTAAAATTACGGTCGTTTATCCTTCCTTCACGTCCGTCCTTGTTGTTTTTTGTAGTTAAACGTTGTTTCAGTTGAAAGTTAGAAAATCACGGGCAGGATCGCCGGGAATTCTCGCACAATCGCGCGTCATTTCACGCAACGATTCTCCCATAGAAAATTGAAAGAAGGATGCGCGACCAACTGCGGTTAAAGCATGTAGGAAGAAGATTGTTGTAATTCCATCAGGTTAATTTGTAGAATTCCAATGTGGTTATGTCATGTTTTCCTTGTAATGTGTGTTGTAGGAGGATTCATATAATTTTCGTGTAAGAAAATTTATTGCAAAATGTTTACGATGTTCCCCAAATACACTACAGTTACTCGAACTAACCATCATCACTTTAAATTTCGCACGTGTACTACATATTTCTGATCATTTCTAAATGTGTATTTCAATAACTAAGCAAGATGTTCAAAAACCGGGTTCTCCATTATGAAATCTTTAAAGTTAATTGAAGAACACCATTAATCTTCATGAAGGGTCTGATTTAATTGTATGATACATGATGACGTTAATAAAAAAATAAAAAAGAATTGAGATATATATTTTCCGCAGTAACATAAACATTCCATATTGTATTGAAAGAATTAGATTGCATAAAAAATAATTAAAAGCACATTGGAATAAATTTAGATGGTTAAATACGATTTGGACATAAAAAGTCCCACACATCAAAAATAAAAGTAATTATGGATAAATACAAATATAGGATTAGAATAAGCACATATGTATAAAATGCCTATTATGTTATCTGTTTGTTGTCAAGTAATTTTAATGAATATGTATGAGTATGTATTTGATAGATGGTTAAAGAGTCGCAAAGTCTAACCAATCATCAACGGTAATTCATATTGCGAATACAAAAATTGTTACAAAATAGATTTCGTAATATCATCAACAGGATATCATTCAAAAGTGAACTTTATAAGAAAGGTTACCAAAGAAGGATTGGCCAATTTTAATGTCTAACGTTGTTTTATTACAAGTATAATCACTATGACACTACTTGTTTCTTGTCGCTGAACGAATTGGTACTGGTTTTCATTCTCTACTTGTTTTAAAAATGTCAAATAAGAGAATGTGTCAATAATGTGACAAAACATATTTTGAACATTTTTCCTTTGTTGAAGATTTTTTATGAGTGTTTTTCATGCTTCTGTTCGAAACCTGTGTGAAAGAGATTCCTTATTTGAAGTGATCATGAATTACCTGCTGCTGTTGTTGCTTAATCCGTGCGATACATTATTCTTTGGTATCTTTTTTTTTGCGTGGGTGACTTTTGTCTAACTTGTTCTTATCTAACTTGTTTACCGATGGCTTTGACATTGTTTCAGCAAACTTGATCTAACTAATTCCAGCTTCTGTTGACAAATCAAAGTTTAACTACCAAATGATGATACGGCTGTTATATCTGTTGTTCCGGGTACTACATACTGTAATATTAGAAATAAAACTAATAAACTCAAATTACTTGAAAGATTTCTATCTCTCCCAATAGAACGTCGGCTCAGAATTCCTTTTCTATATAAATAGATGCTACTGGCGAATTTGATTTATTTATAAAAGCACAAAGTTTTTTTATCTATAACTTGTTTTCTCATCCGTTTATTTTAAACTGCATTTGCCCAACAATGCATGGACCAAAGTAATTCTAAACGTGTAATATCAAAATACTGCCTACTGCGTTCTTCAAAACTACTAAGTTTTATATTGCTATATCTCTGAATTAATTTCATTTAATATTTCTTACTGAAACTTAGTTAAATACTTTTGCTACTGTTGGATAGCTGTGTTAGAAATACTGCCCAGAGAGCCATATCTCTGGGTGGTGGCTGCCTCGAATTAATTCAGGATTTGTACATTTAGTCAGGTGTCTATCGTTAAAAATTATATTGATGATTCGCTTGATTGAAACAAGATTTTAGAAGAATACCATACGTGTTATCGCAAGTGTCCTACATTCCCACAGAGAATGAAGATGGCTTCAATCATTTCTGCATTTAAAAAATATGATATGCATGTATATCAACACCAATCGTAACTCTGTCTAATTTTCGAAAAGTGCATAATCAAATAATTCTCAACACAATTTATTGCCACAACCAGCCCTTCATATTCCTTACCGTTCAACTGTTACAACTCTGCGTTATCTTACCTATTACGTTGTAAAGGTAAAGATTTTGAGAAAGTTCCATTAGATTGATTATGACACATTGTTGAGCGAGATAAAGTAATGAATTTAATGAAATGATATCTTCTTACCTCCTCTGATCTAGTATACTTCATGGTCACAATCTGGAACCTTTTTTATTTGTTCTTTAAATAAATAATTTTTTGGACTCAATTACATCACTCTGCAAGATCTCAGAATGAGAGACTTCGAAGAGGAATGGCCGAGCATGGATGGCATCAGGAACACACCTCTGAGTTGTGTTCTAGCCTTCGGAAATTCCTTAGGCTGGTTGATTGGGCCCGTTGGAGCCGAGGTACTGTGTGCGTAAGCATACCCTCCCCTTTTCCTACATACATACAGCCGCCCCCTCCTCCTATTTTATCTGGATGGGGTGGTGGCTTTGTAATCGTTAGTACATGACTCGCTTATACTTATGGTTTAAGGAACTACGTTATTGTTGTATTCGCTCGTTGTTGCAATACAATCTTGTTTTGATTCAAGGCTTCTATTTGATCATCGATGAATGTTCGTACATATCCTTTTTTAAGAAACTGCACTAAGTTGACCCTGTTTGTAAGGTTCTACTTCACTGAAGAAGGTTAAAATGAAGCAAGTTAAACTAAAGTTTTTAGTTTAACTAACTAAAGTTGGTTTCAATGAGCGATAGAAAAAACATTATATGTGTTCCAGAAGTCTATTTACTGCAAAAGTAGAAAGACAATTTACAAGCCACAAAAGAGAAAAAGTTTTTTAGTCGTGGAATTAAGTATTCCGAACAGTTCTTCAATTTTATAAAAACGACTACCACTATAATGATGAGTTCTGCCTTATTATTGTATTATGTATTATATTGTCTCTATAAATTATTTAAAAGGCAGAACAAATTTGCCAACAATGGATTTTGTAATGATAAATTCCCTTGGTACCCGTTACTGTAATGTTGTAATCATGAATGGGTGCTCAAACATTCACAGATTGATTTCAGAGTTCTTTTTTGCCACATGCAAAATGTTTACCAGGCCGCAAAGTGTTGATAGGAGATAATTTCTTATCACATTTCACAATCACCGTCTTAGAAAGATGCAGAAAAAGTTACGTAGCCTTTGTGTATCTTCCAAAGAAGCTCCAATAACCTCATTCAATATTTGGATGTTGAGGTTTTTCGTTCAACCAAGATAGCATGCAGATCTGTTTTAGGCAACTTGGAGAATATTCGTCTTCAAAATAGGGTTTTCTAGCTTATTGTTTGTCTTCCCAAAAGCACCATTAACCTCATTTAATAATTAGATATTGTAGTATTTCGTTTCACCAACATAGCATGGAGATCGGTTCTAGCCAACTTGGAGAATATTTTAGACAAACAAGGTTTGTCTCGCTTATTAGCTTTTAAGCTTACTGAAATGAATAATAAATCTATAAAGTTAATTTCCTTTAAAAAAGGCGTGTCAAGAGATATAGACGGTTCCGTAGCCAAAATCCTAGCTCATTATTTGAAGCAATAAAGGTTCACTACGAAACCAGCAAGCCAGAAAGAGTGTTGTAGCATATAAAGATAAAGATGGTCAAGAAACCGAGAAGTATGCGAGAGTAGAAACCGATAAACACTTAAGTTACATCGGGAAAATTT